CCTAAACCCTAAACCCTAAACCCTAACCCTAAACCCTAACCCTAACCCTAACCCTAACCCCAACCCTACCCCTAACCCCTAACCCCTTAACCCCTTAACCCTAAACCCTAAACCCTAAACCCTAACCCTAAACCCTAAACCCTAAACCCTAAACCCTAAACCCTAAACCCTAACCCTAAACCCTAAACGCTAAACCCTAAACCCTAACCCTAAACCCTAAAACCTAAACCCTAACCCTAACCCTAACCCTAAAACCTAAACCGTAACCCGAACCCTAACCCTAAACCCTAACCCTAACCCTAACCCTAACCCTAACCCTAACCCTTAACCCTAACCCTAACCCCAACCCTAACCCTAACCCTAAGCCTTAGCCCTTAACCCTTATCCCTTAACCCTTAACCCTAACACTAACCCTAACCCGAACCCTAGCCCTAACCCGAACCCTAACCCTAACCCTAACCCTAACCCTAACTCAAACCCTAACCCTAACCCTAACCCTAACCCTAACCCTAACCCTAAACCCTAACCCTAACGCTAACCCTAACCCGAACCCGAACCCGAACCCTAACCCTAAACCCTAACCCTAACCCTAACCCTAACGACGACGACGACGATAACCCTAACCCTAACCCTAAACCATAAACCCTAAACCCTAAACCCTAACCCCAACCCTAACCCGAACCCGAACCCTAACCGTACCCCTAACCCTAACCCTAACCCTAACCCTAACCCTAACCCTAACCCTAACCCTAACACTATCCCTAACCCTAACCCTAACCCTAACCCTAAACCCTAAACCCTAAACCCTAAACCCGGCGGCGACGACGACGGCGACGACGACGACAAGGCCGACAAGCAACACGGCGACGACGACGACGACAACGACGACGGACGACGACGTCGACAACCACGACCACGACGACGACCACCACCGACGACGACGGCGGCGACGACGACGGCGACGACGACGACAAGGCCGACAAGCAACACGGCAACGACGACGACGACGACGACGACGAGGCCGACGACGACGACGACGACGACGACGACGACGCAACGACACTCGAGCCTCACTCTCTCCCCCACGCTCACAGGAGGTCTCCCTTCCCGCCCCGGCACTCGAAACACACTCTCTCCCCCGCGCTCACAAAAGAAGGAGACACCCCCCCCCTCGGCACTCGACACTCCACTCACTCCCCCGGCGCCCACAAGGGGAAACCGCCCCCGCCCGTGCACTCGAGGCTCAGCGCGATTCTACGAGCCAGCGCCGGGGCAGCCTTGACCCCCCAGGTTAGCTCAAGCACGAAATAACGTATTCTACGAGCCAGCGCCGGGGCAGCCCTGACCCCCCAGGTTAGCGCAAACCTGACAGAACACATGCCACGAGCCAGCGCCGGGGCAGCCGTGTCCCCCCAGATTAGCTGAAGCTTGTGCTCGGAGGGGCCCTGGAACGACGGCCTGGGCGGAGCCTGGGTGGGAGTCCCGTGTAAAACTGATGCAGAACCGTTTCTACGAGCGCTGGCGACGAGACCTCCCAGGTTATCACAACCTGGAACGACGACCTGGGCGAAGCCCGAAGCGGACGTTGGCGGCGAAAACGGGGACGGAGAAGAGCCAGCGGCCTGCGGTCTGCTGCTGCGCAGCAGACCACAGGCTCCCCTTCGATGGAGGAGGGGAGGAACCCGTGCGGTGGTTGAGCGTTTTTTGGTTTAGTGTCGCTCCCCCTCGAGACATCCTCACAACTCCAGCGCCTCCGCTGGAGACATCCTCAACAATTAAAGAGAAATGACATAATTTGTAAAATCTACAACTACTCCGCGCCCAGGGGGGGGGGGGTCCCCCCTTTCGTCGCCCCCCCGCTGCCCTCCCTTTCATGCGCCGAGAAGGGGAAGGTGAGGGCCCAAAAAATAAGGAGAGGGGGGGGCCCTTACCCCTCCCCCCCCCCCTTCAACGCGCAAGGGGGGGGGGGGGGGAGGTCCCCCCCCACAAATGAAGCCCCCCCCCCTGTATTATTTATGTTGTCTATCGCTCTTACAAATGTTGGCAACTCCCGCTTGACGAAACGGCCAACGTCCCCCTCCAAGCAGACATTTTGAATTCGCAGGCAAGGTCCGCATGCCCGCCTTCTAAGTCCGAGGTCCCTACCATGACCCTGAAAGCCCCAAACGCAGAAACCGAAACCATAAAGCCTAAAAACCGCAAAACGCAACCCTAACCCCACCCTGACCCCCTACCGTAAGTCCCAACCCTAACTCGCCCTGAACCCTACACTCTAGCCCTACCCTAAACCCGAACCCTGACCTGTAGCCCTAAACCCTCTCAGAAACCCGGACCCTAAAGCCTAACCCCCAGACCCGACCCCATTACCCTAATCCTAACCTAATCCGCAACCCTAACGCATAACACGAATCTGCCGTGCAAAGCGATGAACCGATCCCTAACCCGAACCCGTAAACCCAGCAAAACCCAAACCCTGGGCGCCCCCCAGCGCGCCCTGCAAAATGGATGCTTGGGAAATACGATAGGTCGGGTCAGGCGGGCGGAACCGTGACGGGGTCGGGCCACAACGGGCGGGTCGGGCGGAACCTAAGCGGGCGGATCGGATTCGGGCGGGCGGGCATGAAAGTGCGGGGGGATGTGCGAAGCGCGCGCGCGTGAACCCTCACGGGCGGGTCGAGTCGGGGGGGCGAACCCTAGCGGGCGGGCCGAGTCAGGCGGCCACGCCCGGGAAGCGAGAGAAACGAGGGGGCGCGAAGACAAAGCGAAGACGAACGCACACTGTTTAGGTCGAGCCCTGTAGCTGAGGGCATGGTAAGGAAGCAATTCGCGCAGCTGGCCTTTCGTCGCCGTCGCACCAACGGAAATTGCCTTAAACTGACAACTCAGCTGGGCAGGGGGTGCCGCTGCCCACTGGAGCTTTCAGCATTAAGGCGGACGTGTTCTTCGGCTGCGATTCTTGTCGTACGTTTGTTGTTCAGGCTGGGGGCCTGGGCCCCCGACAGCGCCGCCCAGGGGGGGCCGCGCGGACAGGGGGAAGAGGAGGAGGTGGGGAGAAGGTGGGGAGGATGGGGAGGAGGATGAGGAGGAGGAGGAGGAGGAGGAGGAGGAGGAGGAGGAGGAGGTGGGGTAGCAGCAAGGTTGCGAGGTGGTGTCGTCGGCGCTTCCTCACTGGGCAAGCGTCCTTGATTTGTTTTCCAATTCGTTCGCTCCAGCGACAAAATCCCTGGTTCGCCTCTCTCGCCTCCTACGTTCCTCGCTTGACCCCAAAAGTCATGGTTCGGGAGGAGACAAAATCATCGCTCGCTTCCAAAACTTTCCGCGCTCGTCGCGAGCAATTTCTTTGCTCACCTGTCGACCCCACGTCGGCACTTCCTGTGTCATCGGCGATATGGCGTAGCATTTGTGCCACTTTTTGTGTGGACGGGGAAACCGCGAGCTCGCTGCTCAGCGCCCTTGCTACGCCAGGGTGGCCCCATCTGTGTCCGTCATACTTCGACGCGTGGCCAACCGGCGACATGATCCTGAACTACGATGCGATATGGTATCGATGTTTTTTTTTCTGGGATCGCCAGCAGCCTCCTGTTTAACTGGCACGCCTGCGTGAACCTTGCAACTGTGTCAATGCACTCGCTCGGGATGCACACGTGGCCGATTCAGCCGACCTGCCCCCTAATCGCCGCGGCAACTGAGGCCCGCGGGGCGGGCTGTGGTTCTGACCACTAACGACTGGCTCTCGCGTAGCTGTCGTACCGCCGTGCTGGTGTACTGCTCGGCGGTCTGTCCGTAGTTCACCACGGCCGTCGACCCGATGGTGTGCAGTTGTCACCCAGTCACGCTGTTGTCCGATACCGTCGCCGGCGTCCGTGGTGATGGTGGGCATCGAATTGGCGGAGGTGTTGATACAAACCCTGTCCGTCGTCCTCATGAGTTTGTCGGTTGTGTTTTCGAGGCGGCCCCGCTCGCGTGGGTCTCTTGATCTTGAGCAACAATTTCATGATGTAATGGTGATATCGAAGCTGTGTCCTCTGAATCGGAAGGCCCCGAACCGACCACGAAGACCTGGCGTTCCACTCTACGTTCGTACTGCACGATTGATCATGATGGTGTCCTTGCGCAACAAGGTTGTGATCCCGCACGACGTTTGAACATGTCGTCCTTGCGTATGTAGCCGAAAAAGACCGCCCTGGACCTCACCGCCGACGCACGCTGTTTTCTCAGCCAATCAAGATAATGATGTGTATGTTTCAAGCTCCTCCGTTAACACCAGCAGTCTGTCCTCTCTGTTGCATGCGAGAAAATTCCAGCCTACGAAGCGCATCAATGCGAGAGCGAGCAGTCGTCACATCATTCCGGTCCGCGCGGCAGCTGGGCAAGCCTGTCCTCCCACATCGGCCGAAGGAAGGCGGTGCCGCGAGGCAGCGGCGCGGCCACAGCGGGCGCAGGAGCTGAGCCTGCGTGGCTACGATCTGGAAGAGGAGAAACAGATGGATGCATCGTGCTTCACAAATGAGCAGGAGGACACAAGCAGGAGCAGGAGGAGGCGGCGCGGAGCGCCCGGTGGCCCACGAGGGAATGGGAGGGAGTGCAGGTGGACGCAGAGAGCGGGCAGGAGGAGAGGCGGGAGAAACCGGACCCGCCGCGCGAGAAAACTGTGCCAACCACCGCCCCGCACGTGGCAGCTCGCACGGAAAACACTGCTGTCTAGATCACTGCTGCTGTCTAGACAGCCAACCCGAGCGCCCACGCCGAGACGGCGCCGAGGCCCCGCCCCGCACGGGCGTCCTCGCAGCAGCCGCCCCCGCTCGAGCACCCGGCTAGGTCACCAGCGCCAGCTCCGTCCTCCCGGCTAGCTGTGGAGGACGACGAGGGGGGACGACAGGGAGGGACGAAAGGGGGGAGGCATCGACCTGGAATCGGCGATACATCGCCGATAAATCGGCGATGGGCCCCAAATAGCGAAACTGCACGTCCCTGGGTGGGGCGGGCTGTCGGGCCCCCATCGGCGATGACTGGGCGATTGTGGGTCGATGCGTCCCCCCCGAGCCGAATTCTCCGCCCGAACGGGATCCCCGAGACGAGGAGGGCTGGCCGCGAGCGCCGGCAGATCCGCCTGCCATCGCCGTGCGCTCCTCGCGCAAGGCACGCTCGCTCGCACCCAGCCTCAGGCTGCTGTTCCGCCCTCGGCCGCCGCCGCGAGGCTCAGCAACGCGGCGCGCAGGGCGGCGGCCGCGGGCGCCCCCATGTCCCTGGGCAGGGGGAAGTGACGGGCCGACTAGAGACGAGGGGCCCGCAAATCTGGGGACACCAGAAGGTACCGATACCGCTACTCCTCAGAAATCTGCCGGGGCGGGTTCTGAGAAGGAGTTCAAGGCGAATCCAGCAGTGGCGACGAGGGCCTTCCAGGGGGGACACACCGGCCGGGGAAAGAATAGCGGTGACGGTACCTATCCTGCTCTGATAGATGGCGACATCCGAGCCCTACCCCCGCCGCCCATAGGGTTGCCTGAATCGCCGCCAATCTGAGAATCGGCGCACGCGCACATCACGAATTGCAATTGCGACCATGTCCGTATCCGTGTCCTCGCGGTCTCGGGGCGCCCTCCCATGGGTACGCGGTCGCACGGATACGTTCCGCGCGGAGCGTACATGAAAAAACGCCCAGTATCTTCGGGGTCGCGGCCCACGGGCCCAGCCCGCGAGGCTGCGTATACGGATAGCTTCCTCGCCCACGAGCACAGCCCCCCCGCCACCCAGCCTCGGCACGCACAGCCGCGCCGCGACGTAGTGGCACGCCTGCGCCACGTCCGCGCGGTCCACCTCTGCGCCGTCGGCGGCCGCCCGTGGCAGTACCGGGGGCGCCCCGGCCAGCAGCGCCGCGGCCACCGCGCGAAGCGCGGCGTCGACCGCGGGCGCCTTGGGGGGTGCCAGAGAGGTGCCGATGCCGCTGCGCCGCGGGCCTCTCTGGAGGCACGTTCTGACCGTGGCGACAAGGCGAACCCAGCCGTGGCGACAAGGCGAGTGGGAAGCAGCATCGGCATCTTTCGGGTCCTGTTGATGCCATATGACTACTCGGGGGCATGTTGAGGCCAGCCGGGACTACCTGGGGGGGGGCTGTCCGTCCGCAGCCCGAAGCTTTACCACCGTCCCTGGGGCCTTCTCCGGCGCCAGGCGCTTCAGCTCCTGAAGGTGGCGACGAATTCCGAACCCTACACCCGCCGCCCAGCGAGTTGCCTGAATAGAGGCCTCCCAAATGGAGTCCAAGTAGATATCGCCGATGCAACGGCGATGCATCAGCGACGTCGGCGATGCATCGGCCCGTCGACTTGGAGAAAATCGAGCTCCACATCGAAGCCGCCTTGCGGATGAATCGGTGATGCGGCGCGATCCTTCGACTCCATCTACTCGGAACCCATTTGGGAGGCGTAGAGAATTGAGGGACTGGCACAGGGGGGGAAGCGCGACCTGGAATCGGCGATACATCGCAGGTCGATCGACCATGGGCCCCCGATTGCAAATCTGAACGTTATCCTGGGCAGGTTGAGGTCATCAGACCCCTCTCGGCAATCAATGGGCGACTGGGGGTCGATGCATCCACCCCCTTGAGCCTGTCCCCCCCCCGTATCCCCCCTCGTTGCCCGAATCGTTGATCGGCGAGGGCAGGGTTCGGATTTCGCCGCCGATCCTTCTGGCTCTTCGGCTCGGCCAGCACGGCGTCCGCGACCACGGCCGCGCGGTTGGCCAGCAGCTTCGCCGCAGCCTCCGCGCGCGCCTCCACGGGCGCCGCGGCCAGGGCCGCGCCGCTGGAGGCCTGGGCCCGCGCCAGCAGCTCGCCGGCGGCCCGCTCGGCCGCCGCGGCGCGCGCGGCGGCGCCGCCCGCGAGGGTGCCGTTCTTGCCGCCGAAGATGCGCATGAGCACCGGGGCGACCGCGGTCCTGCGCGTCGGCCAATGAGAGGCCTCCCAGAAGGGGTCGGAGGATCGCGCCGCATCTCCGATGCATCGCCGACGCCTCGGCGATGCATCAGCGACGCCGGCGGTGCATCGGCAACGCTGGCGTGCAGAAAATCGGGCTCCACTTTGAGCCGCATCGCCGATGCATCGCTGATGTGGCGCGATCCTCCGAACCCGTATCGGAGGCCTGGACGAACGAGTCGAAAGTGAGCCTGGCAACTCAAATAGGGCATATAGCCTGGCAAATTGCATCCATCGCTCTGCTGTGAAGGTACAGTATGAGGGGTGGATGGGTAAGATAGGATAAGATCGATGTAATGATCTTTCCAGCACATAGCGAACACTCGCGGTGTCCGGGCAAATAAGGCGCGCGTGCCTTGAGCCCAAGGCAGCGGCGCGCGAGCTATGCTCCCGATACTGTAACATCTCCCAAAGAGCTACCCTTAAAGTCGGGAGGGGAGGAGACGGAGAGCATAGTCGCACGCAAAGATCGCGCGCGCGACTGTTTGCAAAGAAAAGAAAACAGTGCGTACAGTCTGGTCAAACACCAGACTGTAAGGCGAGTTTCCTCGCAAAGTATTTCACGCAAATACAGGACAGCCCCTTCAAACAATGAAGGGCTATCGGCTCAGTTAGAGGTAAGCCAAAATTAGGCCATACCTCACCAAGCAAATGTGTATTAAGGCAAAGAGCCTGAGTTGTACGAAGCCGGCTCGTTGCCAGGCGTGAAATATAAGGCTCGTTTCCGAGCAGCTAAAGGGGCGCCTTTATAGTAGGCGCCCGTGCTGGCAAACTGGACCGCGAGGGCAACAAGGACAGACTAAAATTGATTAGACTTAGGTTTGTCTCTGTCCTCGGGACCCCGAAAGGGAACAAATTGCTTCACGTCATACTTAAATGACTGAGTGCCTGACATCACTTCCAGAAGCAGCTCCCGATCGATGCTTCCCTTTGTATGCCCATCTGCGGTCATATCCCTAGTATCACACCATTGCACGTTATGTACTATACCTATATCCATGAGCTCACGTATCCAGCTGATATGTCCAAGCAGAGTCCGTTCTGTAGGTATTTTGAGATCCCTGCTTGATAAAGATTTGTAGACGGACTCAGCGTCTATGGTAAGAGAGACTTTGATAGCAAGGCCTCCAACTTCACGCATGTCTCGTAGTTGTCGTGGAGTCAAAGCCCCTGCCTTAAGCTCGTGGAGAGTAATGAGCGTAGGGTAACACTCATCAAGGTTATGTGCGGCTGCAAGTGCCTCCGCAGCATAACTGGACCTCACCTGTAATCGGTGTGATTTGCATAGTCCGTCACAGAGGTGAACGACGGACTTGCCTTGAGGCGAGTTTCCTCGCCGTAGTACGTTGGCCCCGCGTATGCCGTAGCCCTTGGTCTCGTCATCCTCCTCCCCGGTAAGCTTCCGATACCCCGAATCGCTATGGATGTCAACTTCATTCGTCGGCTTCATCCGAGGGAAGGTGATGCGTTTCGGGCTGCTGATCAGCTTTCGCGTCACAGCATTCAAACGTCTGACTTGCAAATTGGTGGGCTCTTGAATTTTCTGAAGAGAGACCACATATACCATGAGCCAGATTTGGGTAAGAAGGGCATAGGCGAGGGCTCCTCGCAGGCTGACGAACATGTCGGTAATGAGTTTCGTGGCTTTGGCGTCGGCCGCCGCTCCTGTAAGTTCTGGGTGTGTGATAGGACGTAGTTGTTTAATGTACTCGTCCTGGTCCATGATCACATCTCCCTGATCATTCTTAGCGTAGCGAACGGCGCAGTTCGTATATGTGTGCTTGTTGAGCTTGCATTTGCCAAACACCTTTTCGACGCGTTGTACATAGTCGTCTATATTTTTCTCTAGACCTGTCATATTAATATCATCGACATGTTTTGCCGTCAGAAGGTCTTGGCTGAATTCAAATGCAGGATCGTACCTGGTCGGTGAAAGTCCTATAGCTCGTGTGGTCGTACGAAGTTTGAGAGAGAACGCTCTTGGAGCGTCCTTAGTACCCGTTCCTGGTTTGAGGCATCTAAGACAGTGCCGACTTTCGTCGTGGGATGAGAAGCCGGGTAATGTACGAAGTACCTGAGCGCTTCCTGGTGGAAGAGTAAAGCAAACCATGCGAGTTTCCTCGCCGGTGGCATGGGCAAGTTCCTCATAGGTCAAACCCTTGAGGAACGCCTTATCGATATCCATGGATGCTAAGATCCATTCTGGATGGAATGCCGCTTCACTTGCCAGGAGTCGTTGGGACTGCCTTCGGGCGGTTCCCGAGAATGTTTCCACATCAAAAGCCTCAGTATCCATAAATCCACGAAGGACCAGTCTGAGACGAATGGTTTTAACGTTCTCGGTACCACTCTTTACGAACTTCCACTTGTATACATATCTGGATGTCATGATGTTGGAAACTTTGGATAAACCGTACATCTCAAAGCATCGATTATCAATCCAGATTTTGAGCTCAGTATATAAGGCTTCACTAACCTCCTTTGGATGTGCTGCCATGTCGGCTTTGGTTAGTAAATCATCTTCTTTGACAACCACAGCACGTTTAGCAGCAGAGGATACATATACTCTCATCGTTGCGACCATATCGGTATCGAGCTGTGCAAGTTGAGTCTGATCCAACACTATTTTAGACATTTCTGATGTAAAGCATAGTTCAACGTAAGGACCGTATTCATCACTGTCTAGAGAGTAGCTCTCGTCGGCTGTGTTTGAACAAAAAGAGACTAGACAGGACTCACATGATTTCGGCTCGTCTCCGAGCATATCTGATGATATAATATCATCTTCGTCCACAAATGCTGAAACCAAAACACACTGGTCGGGCAGCATAGTTGTTGGGACGCAATAAAGATAATCATCGGTAATCGTCGTAGGATGAAGGTCCATACGTAGCTCGTCGTACCACTCTTCCAGCATCATAGCTTCAAGATTGTGTTCCTCATTTTCCTCATAGATTGTCGACAGACGGCCTTCGCTCGGCGATGAAGCGTCTGGTGTGTCTGGAGAAGGCCTGTTTCCAGGCGACCCGTGTTCTCCAGACGTGTTGCTTGGATGCTGATATTTAGCCAAATCGTCGTGAAATCCTAAGGAAGGGACACGTGAAGTCAAGCATTGAATAAGTCTGGAGTGAGTGCTACCAGTGATCTGAGAAATGTTTAAGCCAGTGCCCACGCATTCGTAATAGTGGAACGCCGGGCTGATGTCGTTGTCATAGAGGATCAGCGTAGACCCGGTGGCGTACTTTACTGCAGGTAGGCTTGACACACTCTTAGCCAATCGAACTGCTACTACATGTTCTACTCGGAAGTAATTTCGTACGAGATACTGTAATGCTAAGTGTACGCGCGGGTGAAACTTGCTGTCGTCTGACAGATTAAGGTTTCCCTTGTAATCGGGGATATACCCGAAAACTTTGGCAGGTTTCCCTGCGCTGAGGTGTGCCACATAAGCAAGGACGGTTTGCATGGCCGTATTATCCATGCCAAGTTCCCGTGTGAGGAGACATTCGATGTATAGTGTGTGACGAGCATCAGGATACATCACAATTACCTCACGAGATCCTGCCTTGACAACAATATGTCCTCTTTCAGGCACATTTCGGATCACCGGGAATGGGCCATTCCAGCCTCCATGGTCGTCCTTGGTGGCAGTCGGTCGGTGGTAGTCGACCAAATCCCCTGATGAGTAGAGGCGAGCACCATCAGGAGTCGTCTTAGCCCTAAGAGCCCGATTTGTCTTGGCCACAGCAGTAGCCTGAGTTATAGCTTCTAGGCTGACTTCCCTTACACGACGTTCTCGTTCGTGTCCTGAAGTCTCGGGTCCCTTGGAAAAGTCAAGGGTATCGAGATCAGGAAGGAAGGAGGGCTGACGTCCTGTGTGTGCCTGATATGGCGATACTCCGTTATAAAACGTAAACGCATTAGTAACGAAGATGCCTTCCGCCAGTACTCTAGTGAATACAACAAGGATGTTGTGTCTATTCAATTCTTCCTCAATCATGTGGAGGACGCCTCTGATAATGCCGTTTCGTGACTCAATTGAAGTCGCGTGTTGGCCAGGAGCACGGATACGAAGTTCCGTGCCCTTATTGGCCATCATGGTTTTAGCGGCATCGTTGTTCAGGGCGCCTTCTCCGTCTGAGTATAAAACTTTGAAGGGTCCGTGATAGGCAATCCAGCAATAGTGGTAGGCGTCGATGATAGTGTCACGTTCTCTGTCGGAAATCTCTAGGCCTGCTGCCAGGCGAATACAACGGTCCATAATATGTAATATGGTCCGTTTCTTGTAAAACATGAGGTCCATTTCCCCTTCATCGAGCCAGTTACCAGGGAGGCTTACCGATGGTAATGTTGAGTTTCCTGGACGTTCCCATGCTCTACATTCCCGACAGGTATCGCAGATTTCCTTGATCATGTTCAGTCGAACGTTATCAAGCCCCACCTTTTCGAGGATTAGCCTCATCTTTGGCTCCTTCGCACGATGCCATCGCAGATGCAGTTTTCGGAATTCCTTTTTCACAACATGGGGTTCGTGACTACGGAGACTCTGTAGACTGTGTTGGATGTCAAATCTCGTCCAGTCGGGTAGTCGTGGAGCCCCAGAGCCGGTGGAGGCAAGAGGGTTCCTTGTAGCTCTCCGTAGTTGATCCCCTGTGTTGACTGCGTCTGGAGGTGGTGGTACGCCTTGTAGACGTCCGCGGCGGGCCGCTACCTGAGGCGTGTCACTAGAAGACGCAGAAGGCGTGTTTCCACGCTCGGGGGCGTCTCGTAGTAGGTCGTAGCTGCTAGTACCAGATGTCGGATCGACGTTGCCGAAGGATCGTGGTCGCGGTGGCCTGGCGCGTGCGCCTTGGCGGCCACCTGAAGCTGAAGCTTGGCCCTCACCAGGTTTAGGTAAGGGTTTCCACCAAGCTGGCACGGTTTTGCCTTCGGGGTCGCGGTCGTCTGGTAGTTTAAATGGTT